AAGTATAGATTCACTTTGGAATAAACTAATTGAAATGCTGTAATTTTGTTACATGAATTTTTTTTAAGTTTTTTCAACTTAAATTTCTGAATCAACACAAAGTCAATTTTCTCTTGTACCTTACTCAAAACATTATATAGTCCCAAGCTAAAGTGTTAATTTAGGTCAATGAGATTTTTTTTTGCCTTTTATAAGTGAAAATGTCACGACATTACAAGCCAAATTCCCAACAATATAAAACTAAAATTCACTGAAATGATTCACTGCAGATACAAATTAAAAACAGAAAAGTCTCTTTTAAATGCCATTTATTTTTGATGAGTCTGAAAATACCATCTTTCAAAAGGCCAGTGCATATTTTACACAAAGATTAGGGAAAAGAAATTACATGTAAAATTAAACTAAATGTGGGTTTTTCCCATTTTCAGACCTAATGAAACTGCAAAAACATAAACCTACACATCAGCATGAAAAAATACTTTCTTCACCTCTTTAAAACTTCAGAGATCCAAAGTGAGAGTATTAAAACAGGATAAACATTGCTGTCATTGCTAACATTTGAAATACCCATTAAGAGTATGAAAATGAACTTTGAACCATTACAAAATTAGGAGACCCCAAAAAATTAAGAAAAAAAGGGGCTGTGCGTTAAAATATCAATAAACGCAGTTAAAGAAAGAAAAAAAAAAACAGCTAGTGCTGATGTGACTTACTGAATTTAGTATTCACATTTCAAAGGTGATATACATGCCACAATATTTCTACAACAGAAATAAATCCAATAATACAAAAAATAAAAATCACAAATTAAATATTTTGAATTAAATCTAATTTTTCCCTTAGATTAACCTGCAATGCCTTTGAATACAAGCAATAAAACTGCACATGCATCCAACCGTCTTTCTTTGACCAACCCCATATTTAGAGCTTGACACTCAGACTGCACACTCTGCATGTCATTCTCTTTGGTTCAATCTCCATGAAGACTTTCTGCAGCGCATCAAAAGTGTGTCTGAGCTCACAGCCGGTTGAAGACTTCGATGCGAGGGAGCATTAATGGCTGACTGCAAAGTCGAAAAATGGGGTTTGATGTGACGTCACGCTGTCACGTGACAAGAAAACCTAAAGTGAAACCTAAGTAAACCTAAGTGAAACTATTATTTATTTTGAATTGTTTTATTTAATTTTATCCAGGGGGAGTGTCATTTGCTTTGAAACAAACTGGAAATATCAAATTCGAAACGGAAACCACGATTTTTCATTCAACCAATTTAAGAATGCACTTTGAAGGAATGACAAAGTCTTTTCACTTTTTTCAGTGTAGTGCCCACAACTTCACCTTTTAACCAGCAGCTAAAGGCATGCTAGTAATCCATCTTGTATTTATAGACCATGGTTTACTTCTAGTAGATTCTTTCTACATTTAAGCTGTAGAAAAGAATGTATTTGATTAACTTTAAAGAACCATAAATCACACGAAACAGACTAAAACATCATGAACTGATTTAGGGGGTTTGTTTTCCAATTGTGTGACTGGTTGTTTTGTGGAGGAAAAGGTGACCCTGTGTGTTTCTGCCAGCTGCTGGGCAAAAGCCTCTGATCCAGCCAAATTATGCAGGGAGAGAGAATCCCTGCTTAGCTGTGATGCTGTTAATAGACAGCAAGGAAATGCTGGCCATCCTTTCTCATTCTTATGAACAGCAGCATCTGGCTGTATAATTTGTTAATTTTAAACTTTTTTTGTATTAAGAACACTTTTCTTTATTGTTCGGATGAAATATGCTAATTTTGTGAGATAGGAATTTTGGGTTTTCATGAACTGTATGCCAAAATCCTCCGTATTAAGACAATAAAATACCTGGAATATTTCAGTTAGTGTGCAATGAATCTAAAATATATGACTGTTCAAGTTTATCATTAAATTATGGAAAATAATGAACTTTATCATATCACAATATGCTAATATTGTGCATTGCATTGCTTTGCGAAAGTATTCGGCCCCATTGAACTTTCCAACCTTTTGCCACATTTCAGGGTTGAAACACAGATATAAAATTGTAATTTTTTTGTGAAGAATCAACTACAAGTGGGACACAATTATGAAATTTTGCGAAACTTATTGGAAACTTTAAACTTAAAAAAATATATATACTGAAAAACAAGTCGCTTGGGGTATGTCTCTATCAGTTTTGCACATCTAGAGACTGAAATTTTGGTCCATCTTTCCTGCAAAACAGCTCAAGCTCAGTGAGGTTTAACGGAGAACATTTGTGAAAAGCGGTTTTAAGCTCTTTCCACAGATTAGATTCAGGTCTGGCCTTTGACTTGGCTGTTCTAACACCTGGATATGTTTATTTATGGACCGTTCTATTGTAGATCATTAGCTGGATCATTAGCGGGTGAAAATGAGCTATCCCTGAAACGTGAGGAAACAAACGATACAGATAAATAGTTTATTCAAGTCATTAAATCTGCAGTTCAAGTCTGGCTCAAGTCATGAAGTCAAAGTCAACACGTCTGAATGAAATTATGTTTTCCATTGTGATTAATTCTCTTCTATTAAACATTTTCCCTGTTCAAAAAACTAAATACTCTTCCCTGACCAATCTAACTCGAAGGGTAAAATGTCTTTATGGAAACCAGCCATTGCTGGATCTGATGGTCATTTCTTAATGCTGGGAGACCTGATGAAGAAGGCAGCATGTGCAGCAACTGGAGCAACTGGAGAAGAGCAGACCTTCAAGGTGAAAAAAAGCTGATCGTCTCATGAAAGCTGCATTGTCACATTAGACCTGAACAGGCTAAAGTAATTAAAATACAGCGCTGGATGGGTCAGCCAATGTCACTGTTGTGGCTTCTTAGCCCAGTTCGCTGAAGTTGGTGTCAACAAAGGCTGTGAAGGGATTCAAACAGGTTAAAATCTGTCTTTTTATAAAGTCTGTAATCTAGTGCATTTTTTGTGTACAAACTGAATTTCCAGAAATAAGCAATATCAGAACTGATGGCGCAGAAATTACACTATTTTAAAAAGAGCTGCTCTAACAACAGTGATCTCATGGTTTGTTATACATATCTTTGTTATGCTGTTTGAATTAGTATGCAATGTTCCCACATGAACAAAACAAATTACCTGTTAATTATTGTTATAATAATACATTGGAATAACTGAATTTCTTTTAGTAGATATTATGTATCATGTGAGTATTTAACTGTATGTAGAAATACCACTTGATTTAAGCAAGCTTTAGTCAAGTAATATTTTATGGTCCTCTATTACATGCATAATCTGTTTTTAGGTATTTATTTTATATCAGAGGTACTGTGTAATTGAGGCTCTTTGTGTTTTTCTGTTTTTATAATGTTGCAGGCTGAAATTTCAAGTTTATTTCTTGCTTTTACTTTGTAGAACACTTCTAGATTTATTATCTCTTAAGATGAAGTGTCGGAAAATAATTGTGATAAATGTAAAAAAATAAAATTTTATTGAGCCTGAAAGAAACCATTTAAATCAAGTATGGTATCTGACATACATTTTCTACCACAAAAAAAACAACCATATATATTTTAAAATCCAGTGCTAAACTAACTTTAAGCAGCACATACCGGTAATCAATTTGTGAAAGAAGGAAAGAAGGATTTACACCTAATTTTTCAAGACAAACAAACAAACAAACAGTTTTGCTGCAAATAACTGCAAGGTTTCTTAAATATCCCACTGTTCACATGCATAGTGCCAAAGAGAAAAAATAATACAATCGTTTTTGGCATTTACTTAATCATATTTCAATATTTTAACACAATTGTTTCATTTGACATAAAACAATTGCGTTAAAGTAACTAAGTATGATCAAGTAAATGCCAAAGGCCCATTCTAAGCTACACTCAGTCTTTCACCCATTCAGACACTGATAGTGGCAAGCTACATTCATTGTAGCCACAGCTGCCCTGGGACACACTGCCTGCTTCCAAATAATTCAAATTGGTAAGAACACTTAAAAAGCTGAAATATGTCAGTGGTTGCCATGGCAAGTGCTATCAGAATAGTGCTAGCATTAAGAAAAGAAGTAGGTATAGAAAACTGGATGCTTCAATATTTGATTTAACATAGGGAGAGCATATCGGTACAGCCCACCACACCAAATTTAAAAAAACACATCATTTTGTGACATGCACTGTGTGACTCATTATGAATCTTGATATTTTGGGATGTTTATTGTGGAGAGTTTCAGCCTTTTGAAACATTTGTTTAACTTTTGTTTTTTATAGTTCTTTTTTTGGAATGCTGCAGTCTCAATTTAACAAGCATTACCCTTGTGTGTGTTTGTAGTGTAATAATGTCTGCAAAGGCTATCCACATTCAGAACAGCAGGAGTTCCTTTCCCACCCTTGTTAGTCTTCTTTTTTAGCTGACACCTTAATGGTAAAGGGGTAGAAGCCAAGAATAGCCACAATTTGATGTATTTAGAATCAGCCATTGGAAAAATATATTATATTATATAATATATAATATAATATATATATGTTAAATGCCATCTTCCAGCAATCTGTGTAGGCTGTACCTGTATCACACTCTAAATGCATCCAAGTCTAAATGGCCTCATCTCCCCTAACAAGATATTGGCTTTTTATTGTTTTCAGGGGAAATGGATTTCATTGTTTGTCTGACTCATCACTAAAATGTGCGGTGCTTGGATTCTTAAAGGCACAAGGCCTGAAACATCCTCATTATATGATTTACTGAAATCACTAAGCTCTGCACTCGTAAAGAATAGGAGTTGCTAAAAAGAAAAACCCACATTGCATCAGGAAGGGCAATTTTGTCCTCCCAGCTCTCTCTATGTCTTACATTTTAGATGCTTTAAAAGTCTGTTTATCTTCCCATTTCTTTTTCTTTTGCCCTAACTCGGGTTATCCAACTAATGCTAAGCGAGTTTGATTTATCAGTTGATGTAGAGAAGTTAGGGAAAGATGTTGACCCAAAACATTCACTTCAAATCTGTAGCATTTTTATAAACAGCTGAAATGAGGCAGCTTTGGACTTCCTCTTTTCAAACACCAGATGGAGCTGGAGATCCAGAGTAGAAAAGGTATTCTGTTGTTGTCATGGTTTCAGGGATTCTGGGCACAGTAGTGGATTCTGATTGGTAGAAAGAGAAACGGGTACATTTGGATGCATGTCATTATTTTTCTATATTTAATCCAACCTGTAAAAGGGACCTTAAAAGTGCTCCATAGGGTGAATCTGATTGGACGATTGGCTTGAGAGATCTAATCAGCCTTTTTTTTTATCCCATGCATCAACCTTTTTTTAAGCAGGAAGTTTGAAAACAAATAACTGTTTACTTATGATAATCACTGATAAAGGACATTAATCTCTCACTTATGGCAGCCCCTCGTGTTTTCAGTTGATCACGCACAGGTCATCAGAAGATTTCACAATGCACCATGTGATGTAATTTTTTACTCATGTTGCGCAACAGGCTAATTTGTTACAACCCCCGGCTGATATTTTTGGAAGAAACATAAGGTCTCATCCCCTTGGGTTTTGTTTTGTGTTTCATGTCCAACTTTCCATAGCAATCATATTGTCACCATCCGGTGTCCCTTGCTGCATCACCCAGCCCCATGTTAGTGAGCTTGTTGTTTACAAGCAGTTTTATCCTTCTGACAGCTGGGCTTTTGCATCAAGCAAGAAGCATGTACCTTTGTTTCTGGACTTAATTAACTATTTGCCTTGTACCAGCTGCAGCAGCAGCAAAAAAAGTCAAACTTACTGCTCAAAGGTTTGAATGACAGTACAAACTGCAGCTTGATCCTCCTGGAAAATGTCATGCAGTTCCTAATACTTTGGATTAAGCTTCTGTATTACATTACATGGGGATGTTTCCTGTCCTCTTATGTAATGCTGACCAACAGGTCATTCCCTTTATATCCTAAAACTAATGTTTGGGACGGTTTGTCAACACTGGATTTAAGCATGACGCTAAATCGTAACAACTTTGGCATTCATATGCAATCCCCCTGTTTCCTTTTGTGTATCCTGAAGGACAGTTTATACACTATAAGCTGAAACCCATGTAACACATAATACTTTATTCTCACCTTCTAGAATTATATCAGGTAATCTTTTTTCCTGTTTAAGTCAATTAGGATTGCCAGAGCTAATTTTACTTTTTTAATTCCAAAACATAGAGAGTGAGAATATTTCTTATATCAAATGTTAATGTAGCTTAAAATACTGGGCTTGAATGGAGGCAGTATATCCACAGGGCTGTGTGGAGGTTGGTGTCTGTGTTTCTACCTTCTCCGACTGCAGGGTGTGACCAGTGGGTCTATTCTCACAGCCTGTAAACCAATCAGGAGGAGCTAAAAAAAAAAAAAAAAATCCCCAGATGTAGATGGAAGATTGTTTTGCTCTCTGAGTAGTTATTTTACCCTTTTTCAAGATGCCTGTTAATAGTCCTCCCTTACTTCCTAGATTCTAGTTCTCTGCCTTCTTGCAGCAATTGCTGGACAACCAAACTGCCTTTATGAATCCCCTCATACTCTGATGACAAATAGTTTCTGTTGGCTACTACCTTTTTAACTCAGTGAACTCTCTACATTCAGTCATTCACCCACTCATGCCCACATTGATTTTTGGAGGGCTACAAAGCCTGGGACAGACTGACGGACAGAAGCTATAGCCTGCCATACTAAGGCACCTTGACCACCATCAGTAGGCAATACAGGTGACATGTCTTGACCAAAGACACATCCCAATGACTGACGGTACAGTACTCACCATTGAATGCTACACCATTTCATCCAGCCTCTCCTGGAAAGAAGATCATAAACCATTACTGATAAGCACCACTTAAAATCATCTGCTGATCTCAGCTTCTCGGGGTATTCTCATCGCCTCACATCATTGGGAAGATCTTCATCATATAACACTCAAATAGTTTCTTCCGTCACCTTTCCTGAACAGTGCCATTCTGGATTTCCCCTCTAATCACAAAAGAATCAGTCATTTATTCACTTGTGTCATTAAATCCTTTAAAGTTGTTGTTTATAACTGTTGCCTTCACAAGGTCTTGCACAGAGAATAAAGGATAGGCACAAATTTGGATGTATTTTAAGGCCCCGTCCACACGAAGACGAACCCTGGCCTAAACGCACAAATTTTTCACCAAACCAGCCTCTCATCCACACGAAGCCGGCGTTTCGGGGGTCTGTAAAAGATATTTTTTTTATTCAGCCTTCAGAGTGGGAAGATTCTGAAACGCCGTTTTCGCGTTTCCATCTTTACGCTCTAACCGCATATTTTTTTTTACACGCATGCGTCATAGCGTCGCCTCTAAACACGCATGCGCGACACATCACAACAACAATGGCGCCGTTGCTGCTAATGCTACTCACCCTGCTGTCGGGCTTACAACAGAATCTTCTTCTTCTGAAATATCTCCAGGAAGAACAGAGCAATATCGACGACATAGTTCAGCACCTGAATTTGACTTAACCACGAAAATGGGCCCGCAGGGCAAACATGTATAAATATTAGTGCGCATGCCCAACATTTCGTCGCTTATTTTTGCTTTGGCACCACAGCGCCACTTATAGGCCTGGCATACATTTTGCAGCGTTTTCATGCATTCGTGTGGACGCTCACATTTATTTTACGTCTCCGTCTTTACGGCAAACGTTTTGGAAAATATCAGCGTTTCGTGTTCGTTTTGACTTCGTGTGGACGGGGCCTAAGGCTGCCAGTTTGAAATCATGGAATAATCAGAAGAAATTACCAAAAGGCAAAATAGGCAAATGCTCCATCCATCCATCTTCTCCTGCTTAGTCCTTGTCAGAGTTGCGGTGGGGCCAGTGCCTATCTCTGACAGTCTATGGGAGTGAGGCGGTGTACACAGGACTTTTTATGGTAAAGAGGTAATTTCACATTAGTAATGACTAGTGTTGCGCCGATGCCATTTTTTGGCCCCGATACCGATACCCGATACCTGGCTGTGCAGTATCGGCCGATACCGATACCATAATAATGTAAAATAATTGCCATCATGGTTTGTCAAGCTGCTGCCTATCTTTGTGAAGCAGAAAAAAGACGAATACAAAGTGAATCCAGTAGAACTTTTTATTGCCTACCTGGAGTGGGTGACAATAGTTGAATAAACTTATGGTTCTCAAAATGGTATCGGTGCCCTATTTGTTGGTACTCACCGATACCGATACCACCATTTTAGGGCAGTATCGGGGCCCCGTCCGATACTGGTATCGGTATCGGTGCAACACTAGTAATGACAATTAAATCACTTTTTATGGATTCATCTAGGAAAGAGCTTAACATATCTGTGCTTTCTATGGCTAATAGACAATTTAGAAACACAACTGGAAATAGTAATAACAAAGGACTTAATATTTTGATCCATTTTATTATCCTCAAAGTGAACTAATTTGCTAAGGAGATAAACAGACTACTTTCCCATTTGTCACATTTTTTTACAGGCTTTTCTTTGGCAGTGAAACAATTCTGTCCTGTTTTCTGCCTCCAATGAGGGCCATGGTGAGGGTTTGTCCAATTCTGGGCTCTCTTATGTTGGCGCTCCAACATTTTGGTGTTGTTGTCTTCTGCGCAAAACAGACCTTCAAACACTAAAAATGTTTAATATGGACCTAGGAGAAACAAGGCCCCATTTTACTTCTGCTCTGCCTGTAACTTCGCTCCAGAGGTGATAAACTACAAACAGGGTTCTCACGTTTGGGGACCGAGATACTGTGTCAAGTTGGAAACATAGCCGATCTGCTTGACAGGGCTTTTCAAAAAGTAACTAATGAATTGTTAATGCGAAACACAAGGACCTAAAAGATGCTTGTCACTCTCTGAGAATAGATACAGGTTATATGTGAGAGACTGGAAACCTGATGTTGCAAAAGGACATGGAAAATGTCCTTGAAATGGATACGTATGAAGAAAAATTTCCATGTAGTGTTGATGTCATTTTTTTTTTTTTTTTTTTTACATATTTTTTTACATAAGGTATATATGAAATTATTTAAAGGTTGAGCCGGTTTCCTTTATCTGTAAAACACAAAGCAGCTATGTGCTTTCTTGTTAAATACTCACTGAAAGCTGCAAATAAAAGGTAAAAAAAAACCTTCAGTAATAAAGATAAATTCTTTAAATTAGACAAATAATAAGCCTTTGCATAGAATCACCATGATTTTATAGGATGGTTGGTCTAAAGTAGAATACTAAAGAAAAACCTAAGCCTGCTAGGCTATAAAAGATTGGAGACTGTGGTGAAGGTTCAACATTAAGCAGGGGAAAAAAATAAATATGCAGCCGAATGATTACATTTTTTAAAACCAAATCAGGTAAAGCCAAGAGCAAAATGAAATTATGAAAATGTGGCAAAACCTGCTTTTTTAAAATTTGTTTTATTTTTTTACCAATCTTAGCTAGTTTTCACAGAGGTCTTGATTTCTAGCGGACTTCAGTCTGTAGATGTGCAAAGCTGGCATGGGAATCCTCCTGTTAAAGGTAGGCTCTGTGTCTAAAGCTAAAGGATAGCAGCTGAAATAGCAAAGAAACATAAAAGGCAGAAAAATAAAAGCTTTATCTTGTTGAACAGGATACAACCAAATATTGTGTAGGAACGTCTCCTTTTAGCAACTTTCTTTCTTGTGTTTCTAAAATTGAACATATATTGATGACAAGTACCATGTGCAATCCTAGGTAAGGACCAACAGGGGCCGATGCCCCTGTTAATTAGTCCTGGATCTGTCATGGCCCTATACTCTGAAAAAATACACTAAAAATGTAGATTTATGTTCAGGATTTTTTTTTCTTGAAATAAATGTATTTTCCATTGTTTTAAGCAGATAAGACCATATGTCAATGGAATAAGATTATTAACATTTAAAAAAGAAAACAACTCCCTGATGTTATTTTAAATGATAATATCTAATAATCTTATTTCTAAGGGGGGGGGGGGGGGGCTTAATTCCTTTGGTAGATCATCTTATTTGGCTGTTTAAATGAAGGGATTTACACTTATTTCAATAAAATTGAAATAGTTTTTAGATTATTTTTCTATTGTAACACTAAATCAATGTATTTTAATGGCATGGGCTTATGGGTAAGACCACTATTTCCTGGGCAAATATTTTGCCATTGCTATTCACTTAATTATTTAGCAATAACAGTCAACTTTTAGGAATAGTTGTATTTAGGATCACAGTTTTCATCTGTTTTTTTTTTTTTTTCTGTGCATTTGTTATTCTTTTGTTCTGTGGCCCATAAAAACACTTGGCCCTCCCAGGCCCCCTAGAACGTGTTTATCAAGACTGACCAGCTTTCACAATATGTTCATGTGTGTGAGCAAATTCTATATCAGATTGTTCACAAGGTTCTTGAGGATTACTGATAAATCTAGGCATAATTTTGTCCTGAATTCAAATGAATTGCATCTGAGAGTAATATCTGCTTCCAATTTTTCCTGCTTTTGACGCAAAAGTGCTTGATAAAAAACAATTAGTACTTTTTTTTTTTTTTGCTTATTCAGTGAAATCAAAATCTCATACATCTTGAAGATTGTGCTTACGTGCGTCTGTGCACGTCTAACAGAGAAGCTGATTTCATGATTTCATGTGATTCAAACAGGACGGCTTCTGGTCACGGGTTCAAGGTCATGCCTTCTGCTTTGTTTTTTATTTTTTTTATTTTTTATTATTATTATTATTTTTTTTTTCACTTAAAGTCACAGAACAATATATAAACAAACAATCAAACAAACAAATAAATATGCAAGGGGGTATGTCACAATAAACAAGTACAGTTAGGAGAAAATAAACAAGCAATTATACAAACATATGCGCTGGGGAGTGTCATATATATATGTGTATGTATTATACAAATAAATATATCTTTTACAACATTAAATTGTCTAGAATTTCTATTTGGGAACAGACTGTTATGGTTTTTTGAGCTTTCTGGTGAGAAGAAAGATGAATTGTATGAAAATATTGTTTGACTTCTATTAAATACGCTTTAAAATCCGTTTTTTTTTTTAGAAATTTAAATTTATGCAAGTGAAATTTGGCCAACAAAATTAAAAGATTGATAAGAAAAGGTTTGGGAAACATTTTACTTTGCAGTTGAAAGCCAAATAAAATGTTTTTCCAATGAAGCTGAAAATTTTTCATAATATTTGAATTCACATAGTTGCAAAAGTGTAACCAAAATGTCTTAAAGTATGGACACAACCAAAACAAATGTGTTACAGTTTCTGGGAGAAGATTACAAAAAGTGCAGTTCACAGGAATATCAGGTTTAAACTTTTGTAGGTAGTCTTTTACAGGATAAATCCTGTGAATAAGTTTGAATGAGACTTCTTTCACCTTGTTAGTGAGGAGAAAGTGATTGGGTAACAGCCAAGTGTATTTCCAGGAGACATCAGACACAAATCGGTTCCAATATGATAGAACAGCAGGAACAGACACCACCTCTCTCTGCAAGAGGGATCTGACTGACTTATTGTTCTTACGAAGCGATGAGGTGAGACATATTTTGCCAACAGGAGAGTCCATGGGAGTCAGAGAGGGTGATGAAGAAGAATCGAGTCTTGGCCTCTGTCTATATAACATGCAGATCCCAGACGATGCCTTCTGCTTTGTTTACTTTGCTTGGCTCACATCTGGTGACATCATCGCTACAATATAAAATTCGCATCAGAGGTAAAGTTCCAGGGAGCGGTGATGTATTCAGCCTGCAGGCTGATAACCTCTCAGTTAAACTGGGAGCCAATCACAGACAGAAGGAAGCAGAGCAGTGAGCCAATGAGAGAGCAGCTGTTATCCCTCCCATCTTCTATTTGTGTCAACCGCTTTCTGCTGATGAGTCAAGCTACAGAAAATAGGTATGTGACAGACCGGAAGTGTTCATTTCATAGAGCAGGGATTTTATTTCAATGATTTAACGTCAAAAAAAAAAAAAAAAAAAAAAAATATATATATATATATATATTTTTTTTTTTTTTTTATATATATTTTTTTTATATATATATAATATATATATATATTATATATATATATTTTTTTTAATATATATTATATATATATATTATATATATATATATATTTCTTCTTGTCTATATATATATATATATATATATATATATATATATATATATATATATATATATATATATATATATATATATATATATATATATATATATCTTTCATTAATTCTGTACATTTTTATGGGATTTCATAAAATCAACACATTCATACAATCAACATGTATCGAACCGAAAACCGTGACCAGAAACCGTGAATCGAACCGAACCGTGGATTTTGTGAACCGCTCCACCTCAAATATATATATATATATATATATATATATATATAAAATATTTCTTCTTGTCAATTTTGTTTGAACTATGATTTAAGGCTTAATTGTCAATAAGGATATAGCTTCAGTTGTATTGAGATACCGTCACAATTTGTTACAGTTAAATGTATTGGTTTTACTTTTATAATTTTCTTTTAAATAATTCAATAATTATTTTCTCTAAATTTCAAGAAAGTACATATGCAAAATTGAAGCAGAAAGACAAACAACCTTATGATATTTGATAATTCATTTTAAGGAACTCTGAATCAATTCTTTTATAGTATTTATATCCATGTTTTCTTAGTTTTTCACATTTACTGTGATTACATCAAGAGTATTATTTACATATTACTAAAAACATGTCATATTTCTGGGTTCTGAATGTAGATTGATCTAATAATCCAAAGCATAACTTTAAATTGATGTTTTAGTAGATATTTATATAGCGCCAAATTATTTCAGTTACCTTTTTCTAATTTTAAGGTATTGCTATTTTAGGTAAAGTAAAATTTAAATTTTCAAGCCAAAAACCCTAATTTATTACTAGAACAAAATCAAATTTTAATGAAACTAAATTGATTCAGTGCAGAGCCACCTGTAGCTCTTTGGCTCTCTTAATATATTTTAAATTATCATCTTTATTTTTTGTTTTATGGTTTTGTGTGCCCCCACGAAACACGGTGTAAACTGAACTGATTTGCTTCTCTTCTCAACAAACGTTTCCTTCGCTCAGCAGCAAAGCTTTTATTTTGACGGTATTTTCCGGAAGTAGCGGGCGTATCACGGTGTGTGTTTACAAACTCCCCGGTTGACGCCTTTCCCTCCCCTTCTTCAGTTTCCACTCCTCCGTCAAATCATACAGTGATCTCTGACAGCTGGAGGTGCGTTTACTGGACAGCGGGTAGGATCCGCAGTGAAGAAGTAAACAACAAACCGATTCGTCAACTAAAATTATCACCGTTTCCGTAGAAAAAAATAGTAACTGTTGCTGTTATTTTTTTTTTCTTAAAGCACAGAAATGGACGAAAAAGCATTTACCAAAGAGCTTGATCAGTGGATTGAGCAGCTCAACGAATGTAGGCAGCTGTCCGAGGGACAAGTGAAGACACTATGCGAGAAGGTAAGATGCTGAACCTCATTTTTGTTTTCCCTATTAATATGAAATTTAATTTCACTGCCTTGTCTGTTATTTCTACCCTGTTGCCTTCCAGACATTCTTAAAATGGCGTCTATAGAGTAGTTTTCTTTGCGCGGTGCGTCTGTTTATTTGCTCATTAGTAACTGTGGCTTCAGACCGTTAAGCTAATTGTGCACCAATGAGTTAAAACAATAAGAATCAGTTAATGTCAGAGCTAACGCAGCTTAACCTGGAAACCAGAGGGGTAAATAAGTGTTCATTCAAAACATTCAGCATCTATGCTTACTGAAGAGGTTTACGGCCAGAAAATTAAAAAAGGTAACTGATAAATTACCTTTTAAATATTATTTCAGTTTAATATGGAAAAAAGCCAGAATTCTGACTTTAATCTAAAAATTCTGACTTTAATCTGAGAATTCTGACTTTAATTTTAGAATTCTGACTTTAATTTTAGAATTCTGACTTTAATTTTAGAATTCCGACCTTAATCTCAGAATTCTGACTTTAATCTCAGAAGTCTGACTTTAATCTCAGAAGTCTGACTTTAATCTCAGAAGTCTGACTTTAATCTCAGAAGTCTGACTTTAATCTCAGAAGTCTGACTTTTTTCTCAGAATTCTGACCTTAATCTGAGAATTCTGATTTTAATCCCAGAATTCCGACTTTATTCTGACTTTAATCTCAGAATTCTGACTTTTTTCCTCAGAATAATTCTGACTTTAATCTCAGAATAATTCTTAATTTTTTCCTCAGAATTTTGGATGTTAATGTAGATGGGCACCATTAAGGAAGATATATGGGAGCACTCAATTTCACTGACAAAGATGTGAGTTGTTTTGGAGGGTCAGTAACAGTTTGGTGGAAAATGATAGAATAGGCAAATTTTTACATATGTGAGGGGGTAATGCTGTTTCATTAATTGAAGAGTGTTTGTTAGCTGTCAAAATTCATTCAGAATTCTGAGAAAATAGTCAGAATTCTGACTTTTTTTTCTCATACTGAATTTTTTTTAAAAATCTCTAAAAAACTTTAAAAAAAAACTTTTTCAGTGGCCCTAATCCTCTTCTGTATGTGCTACAGCTGTAAAACCACTGTTTTCCTTTTCAATGTTTTATCTCACTGGGAACAGTGTTTTAGGAATATATAAAAAAAAAAAAAAAACTTTAGCTTTAATTGTTATTTCTACTTGTTTATAGGAACAAATGTTTGGTTAATTTGGGGAGGGTGTTTCACAGCATTATGTCTCCATCATTCAACAATCATGCCCAGCAAAAATGGTTTGCTGTTTATGGTTGTCATTGAAATTTAGAATTATCTTCATGTGATGTTTCTCTCAGGGTGTTAAAATGGTAACTCTTATTTTCTAGTATTTTTTTTAAATCAACATTAAATCATTTATTTTTTGGGTGCACTGATCAGTCCCATCTTGCCCAATACTGATTTTCAGATTTATTTTACATCTTAGCTGCTGATATCATTTTGACCTAAATAAATTTTTCTTTACAAGGTACTAAAACGTAATCTGCAAATGAACTGCAACACTGGTGCATCAAAATAGATTTATTACAAAATTATCAGAATGCCTATTTTGATATATTTAAAGAAGATAAATGAATACATGGGGGGAAAAAATGAAAAGTAGCAATTAATCTGTTGATCAGAGCCGCTCATGGGGGAAATTGGTCCCCTATAGTGATAAATTGCCTTTAATTATAGTTTAGGGGCAGATGCTTTCAAACTTTAACTTCCTACAGTTTCTGTTTGATTAAAAACTGATACCTTATATCAAATAATCTTTGAAGCTGTTATAGAAAAAAAAAGAAAGAAAATCTTGTATGGTTTTTAAGCGGTAAAAATGGACTGAAGAAAGCTGGAAATGGTTACCGACCCCAAAAAGCCTCATGGTGAAGAATTTTTTCATTGAAGTAGACTTTCTGTGACAAATTTTATTCTATCATGAAATTGCATTTCTTTTCTATGATCAAGAACTGACCAAATATATATATATATATATGTATAAAAAGGCATGAGTTAGGTGTGACGTTTGGCATACTTACTAGCTGTTCCGGCTGCTTCTCTAAGCTGTAAGCTGGACTAGCAGCATGTCCATATGTTACTGCTTTTTGCTGTTATCCAGCCAACTCTGCACACTTCAATGGTCTGAGCTGCAGCTTAACCCAAATCCACAGTTTCTATATGAGCTGGAAGAGATGAATTTGATTCCAGGTTTTTCCTAGTATGTTTCCAGTATGTAATGAAAAATGGATAATAACTTCCCTTTGCTGCCAAACTTTATCCATCCCTCCCTTCAGCCCGTGGTTGAATTGTTGAATGAATTGTTCAAATTCAATATTTTTTTTCGTTATTGAATTAAATGACCCATCTGCTAATTCCTGTCCAACCAATTTAAGGTTCTTTTTTCTGTTTTTATAACCCATCAAAGCTATCCCTTCCTTTAGAGAGGTGGTTGTTTTCACCATAAAATAGATAAATTGCAGTTCAGTCAAGCTTAAAGCAGCACTGTGTAACTTAGGACCTAATTATTGGCTTAATTTGAGCGATATTAAATAATTTTTCAGGTCAGTATCACTTGTCCTGTATTGACGTTGTGTGCAGGCTGACCTTCTCAAAAGCTTCTATGGAACTTGATCCGTTGCTGATTGGGTGATGTGGGACCATCACAGACCGCCATTCAACATCTGTCTGAGCTTCCCTTAATTGCAACAGCTAACTAAGCTAAAAGTTGTGAAGTTGCCAGTAAAAAGATATGAAACCTACCTGATCAGACAAAGTTTTGGTTCTCTGATAGGTGATTTAATCTGAAAGGTTAAACATGGCCTCGTCTTTAGGAATAACTCTACCACTTCAAGATCTGCTGGTCCAAAGTGGTCGCTATCACATTCCAAAACACACTAGGAGACAATTCACGTGACGTTGCAGAGTTGCCAGCTTATCTAAGGGGAGCTCAATGTGGAAGATGCAAGTCTAGAGCCCCTAGTGGCTAAACATTAGTGTTGCTTTAACTTAATTTCTATAGAAAAAACAAAACAATAGTTAACCAAAGTGCTACAGAGGGCAGAAAATCCTGTCACTTCGACAGTGAAATAAAAAGTATAATAAACTGTGCCCATATGATATTTATATTTATAATTATGAAAATGAAATAATTCCCTGCTAAAATAATCTTCAGCTAAAATAAAGTAAAGTAGAGATGGTTTTAAAGGGCCCTAATATAATCAATGCTACTGAGGCTTAAATATGCAGAGGTGGGTTGTTTACAGGAAGCTCAGTCACAGAGCTAAAAAATGTATTGAATTCAAAACTGATTGTTGATTGCTCTAGTGAATAGGAAAAAAAAATTCTGCATTTATCCAGAAAAAAATCAGAAAAAAGGTTTAGGTTTCCAGGGGAATCTGGTACTGATCAGTCTCTAAGTGAAACTCAAACTGGCTTTCTAAAACATCCAGGTCATGTAGTTTTTGTTAATCCAAGTGGATGTCTAACAAAGGGGGTGGGAAAAAATTGTTTTTTGACGATAGATTGGGATTTTCGTTGGCCTGATATAATATCAATCTTTCAATTCTAGTATGGATTTGAAAAAAAATATTATTACCCAAAACAATGGCAGAAAATGAGCTACCTCTGCAGCACCTCTCTGGCGGATATTGCTATGGAGCCATTTTGCTGTGCGGCGCAGCGCCATATCTGTGGTTGAGGCAATCACAGTGGAACACGTGGACTGATTCAAACCCCAAACATAACCAAACTAACTAAATTATCGATTCCTTCTGATGAACATATACAGCACTTTCTCTTTTAACATTTTATTTTGATAGCTGGGAAAAAGATCGCAATATATAGTGTTATTGCAATATCATGACAATATCGTGTCAGGACCCAAGTATTATGACGCGTATCGTATCGAAAACCCAAGCCAATACTCCCCCTTACTGTATGTCTGATGATTGTAAAGTGAAAATCTTTTTTTCTGGAGGTGAGGTCACAATTTCAACCCAAATCTACCAGTTTCTGATGGACGGCGTCCTCCCCTGACTCCTCTTTGTATAAATATTCACATTGCATTGAGGTTTAAATTAGGGATGATTCTTTCTCAGCAGATCTGTTTTCCTTCATTGCGCAGCTTTTCATTGGTTCATTAAAGGATGTAGGAACCAGATCATTGCCATGTTTGGACTGCTGTGCGCCGAAGGTTAAAAGTGCAATAATGTCAAGGGGCTCATTAATCCTGACATTTTATTTTCTGCTCAGGATCAAAGTTTTCATGCATCTTAAAACAACTGTTTCTCACATTTGATTTGAAACATGTTTGTCCTCCTGCTGCTGCATGGTTAGAAGCACATGGAGATTACTTATTTCTAAATAAGTAGCTTATTGGAATATCTTCCAATAGCTGTAAAAGAACCCCTGCTGAGATTTTTTTTAATGCACCCTTTCTCTTGTGCACACGGTTAATATTTTCAGCTCAACACGCCCACAGAGCTTCCTCCTCTGTTTCAAAAATAACCCAAGATATAATTGATTGTCTGTTGCATCAGCATCACCGTGGCAGCCTTTGTTGCTAAGGGGATGGGAGGGTGTGACTGAGGACAGCGCAGCTCATTGTGACTCAGTGAGCAGGCCGCCTCTGTTTTGGGATGTGTGGGGGTGTGGAGAAATGGGATGTGCTGCGTAATATGTTCCCTCTGCATTCCATCTGAGTCTTCTTCCCCGGTTTGTTTAGGATGCCGGCCGGAAGGAATGTTTAAAATCTCAGCAACTAATGGCTCCATTTTTCCAGTTATTCCAGTTCTCCCAAATGCCTTGCAAGTGTGTTTAAAAAAAAAAAAAAAAAAAAGTTTATCTGCAGAACAAGGAGCTCAAGAAAGATACATTTTTTTCCCTTTTTTTTAATAATGTAAATCTCTGCTGGCTGTAAATTAGATTTGTGTTCTTCTCAGTTATAGAAAATGTAATTTAGTGCAGAATATATACTCCATCCTGCTTGTGACCTCTTAGAGTCCTCCATGTCCGATTTAACCCAATTGAATTAAGCAATTTGTGTTTGTTTTTTTGCTGTTTTGTTTACATCTCATCATTCTTTTTTTGTTTTTGTTTAAAAAAGTGTTACTGCAACATTTAATTTCCTTTAGGGATTAATAAAGTTAATTGTATTGAACTTGTTGTGAAGCCAGTTTATAAATCCTGTGTGTTTGGTCTGATTAACTTTGCGTAAGTAAACAATCTTAGAGTCAAATATGACTTGTGCAAGAATGTAAATGAGGCTTTATCACATGTTTTTGTTTGTGTTTATTCGGATCCCAGGAAGAACAGCAACAGTTTTTTCGCACTAATAGAGATTCCATCATTAACAAAAAAAACAAACTGGTTAGAATATAGCAGAGACTCTTTGGTGTCTTTTGTTTTTTTGAGGAATGTAAAAAAATATTTGGTCTGTAAATTTGTAAAGCTGATCGAAAGATCCGGAAACATCTGAAGCTGCCACACTCAGATTTTTAGTCGTTACATAGTTATAAAACTGTGCATCATTTTAGAATAGAAGAGAAAATCCCCTTATTGTCGTAGAATAGAGAAATTCTGGTGTTTAGAGCAGCAAAAAGATTATAGAAAAAAAAAGGTCACACAAATGTGGACCTTAGGAAAATGTACAAAAATAACATAATAGTGAAGAATTAAAAAATAAACAAATAGAATACTGTACTGGAAAGTTAACAATACAAATACAGTGCACCTGGAGAATAAGTAACCAATATAAATCTATGGACATTTTTGCAGGAATGAAAATTGCAGCAACATCAGAGATGTTCAAAATGAGAGCAGCATGTTATTTAACATACTAAGGTAGAAAGTTAAAACTAAGACAGTTTTCTTCCTATTTTCATAACCATCTTTCTTGAATGCAATTTTATAAAATACATCAACATTTTCTGTTTTATATTTTAGAATGTAAAAGCATCAGGAGATACTTTTGCAAAGCGGAGCCTATGGAAAGGAAAATTCTAGTCTCTTTCTTTTAGGACTATAAACGCCCGAGCTCACCTAGAGCGTGTGTGAGTGATGTAATGTAATGATGGCCGCCCCACCTTGTGGAGCAGCGAGCTTCTTTCTGCATGACCACTTGTTTATGTTTTAAACCGGTCTGAGGCAGCTGAGCCCGGTTTGCCCCTGTGCTCATTGTTTCCCTCAGAAGAATGAGTCCATTAGTGGAGCACACACTCCCCAGTTTTATTTTGGTCTAGTTTAACACTGGCTTTATAACTGGGGAGTGGATGTTGTACTTTGTTAAAAAATAAAAGCATCGCCAATTGCTGACACAAGCATCCCTTGCGTTGCTGAATCTACAGTTGGAGTGACCATAGGTCATCATATCAGCCTTTGTGGGGGTAATTTCTGCCTTGTTAGCACCCTTAATTTGCCCTGAGCTGTCTTTAACTCACCTATAAGATTATATTGCGGCAGATGGGAAGATGCTGACTTTGGTTCCAAGATTTTGACTAAGCAGTTCCTTTTTTTTTTTTTTTTTGTCTCTCAGGTTCTGGCTGATTTGTAGAGTCTTTTTTTAACCTGTGGTGGAATAACACCTACCATATGTTTTGTGATCTTACAACAGTGATTCTGGGCTCAGACTGGGAGATTCTGAAAAGCAGCAGGTCACAGTGTTCAGGTTTATGTAATCGGGCGGTAATCCCCTCTAGGTGGTTGATTGTTATGATTTGCTATTACTGGATTCACAGGTTATGTCATCATTGAATTAAATCTGGAGATGGATGCCACCTGGTTTTTGCCACCATGTAGGCAGGGAGCCCAACGTGAGGATTTTGATCCTAAACCGTAGATAATAATCAGCTCTAATGGGAGATCTGATGAAAGATTTTCAAGACATAAAAATAGGAATGGGTATTTATTGTATCGTTTATGGCTGTCATGATAAATTTCTATTAATGATAACTAATTGATTTATTGTCTTAACAATAAATTAGAGTTAGTGATGATTAAAAAGCTGAAATAATGGGTGAATTGTGTCATTTGGTGTCCTAAAGAAGATTATTTCAAATTTGTGTATTTTTTTAGATTACTGTATGTGATTGTGGGGCTCTAATTAACTAATTAACAGTTTTTTTTTTTATTGTCATGACAATAGTACAACAAAAATCTTAGGGCTCCAACTAAAGATTATATTGCTAATCGATTAATCTGTTGATTTATTTTTTTATTTTTTTTGAATAATCGATTAATAATCAGATAACCAAAGGTTCCTTAAAAACTTTTTACGGAATCAAACCAGGTGAAACTAAAACTTTTCCACTTGTTCTGGATAGAGCATTTTGATGAAAACATTTTCTTCAATCTTAAATGCAAAATGTGTATTTTTTTTGTACAATCTTTGTATAATTATTGCTCTAAGTGTGTTGCTCTGTCAGCTAAAGGCCTGTTTTACAGTCTCTATACTCCAGTTAACGATAAATTGATTACTAAATTAGTTGTCGATCATTTCAATAATCGATTAATCACGTTAAATCAGATTAATTGTTTCAGCCCTAACAAATATCATAAGACTTTATGGCCGAATCGCCTAGCTCTGTTACCAGTTGGGGGCTGTTGATAGGTGCTGCCGTTTGGATGATTTGAAATAAACTCGTTGTCTATATAACTGTTGTTTTCGACTGTTGATGATCAAAACACGCAAAGATCGGTTACTTAATTAGAACTATATATCTCTGTGGGTTTACCAGTATTAATTTTTTTAGATCTTTCTTTACTTGAAAGGTTCTGAACTCAAAGCTCTCATTTTACAATAAGTGAAACACAGTGTTCAATGAAAACAGATCCACATGGCCCACTTCTTTCTTTCCTTTAATCGTCCTTATATATAGAGGAACAGCTTTGCCCGGCGTTGTCCCACTTTGATCCAGACATC